CCAAAAGGGTAATAAGTAAAAAAATAAAATAAAAGTCTTATCATTTACATAGCGCTTTTCAAATGTGCGTAATCATTTGTCTTGCAATCCTCAGAGTAGGTAAATTATATATTTTTTTAAATTGTGATATTGCAGATGACAACCTGATGTTGAGGGAGACAGCGGCTGCGGCACAGATTTATTTTATTTATCAGCTTTCATGTGAAGGAGCAAGCACAGACTGAGACAAAAGTTAATTGCCTGAGGGGGGCTCTGGAGCCCCTAACAAAGTACTTCTGCTGTCTTCTCCGCTGCTCCCCTCCCCTGTCCAGGGACTTGCTCATTTTGCATTATATGGTTGCAGTAAGTTTACGATGTGGCTGGAATCAAAACGGGGGTGGGGGTAGGATAGCCTAACAAACCCAAGTGGTTTGCAGGGAGTAAATCCTCAAGGACTGCTGTCCTAGCCTGGCTGTCAGTGGGCTTCAAGAAATGGAATCAAATGGAAAGGATATAACTGCGGCTACGTCTAAAATACTGTTTGTGGCTCTGCATTCAAAGATGCCCTTAAGAAGCTGGAGAGAGTTGTGATATGCCTTCCAAACTTATCGATTTTAGAAAGTTTCATCTGACAAATTTGCCCAGACTGACTGTAGATGCTAACAACAACAAGAGCTACTGACAACTGAGCTGAACTGCTTTTCAACCAACCCACAGGGATATTATGGCCATAAAACCTATTCCCCGTCCCCTCCAGCACCAGTCACTCCTGAAGGCTCATGCGCCAGATTGCAGCGAGTGAGTAAGGTAGTGTCTACTGGCAAAACCTATTTGGTGTTTCACAACTTTCTGACTAGTTTCAGGACTTTAGCCAGACCTAGCAGAGTAAACGCAGAATCCACGGAAGCAATTGGCAACTTGGCTGCAGACAGGATAGACGAAGCAGGAATCAGGAACTTGTAGTTAGGTGTTTAGTATATACAGTGGACTATATACAGGAACAGAACACAGATCTTATGCTAGCTCTCTCTGACACGACTCACAACTCCTACACTGACACACTGAACCACTGAACTCACAAACTACCAGTTAGTAGGCCATTAATTATCCCTCCCTTGAGAGAGCGTGACCAGTCAGGGAGCTGTCTCCATGCCTCTGTTATCACCAGGCAGACTTACTCCTTCAGATTGCCTTCTGGCTGTCTGCCAAACCTTAATTGACTCTGTGTGAGTAGCTGCATGTACACAGATTCCCAACAGTGTCCCATCCGAATCTTGCTATATCAACAGCAGACCCTCCAAATGTCCTTATTTTCCAGGGGCAGTCCAGGTTTACAGAAGCTGTCCTGGTTTCTGATTTGATCCCAGAACTGTAGTTTGTTAGAATTGTGGGGATTTGTAGCTCTGTGGTGTAAACTGCAGTTTCCATGATTATTTGGGGAGAGGTGTGCTTTAAACATATGGTGTGTACACAGCCTAAGTGGGGATGAGGCAGAGGGGAAAGGGCTAAACTCCTTCAGCCCTGATGTCAATGCCCACACTGTGGTTAGAGGTTAGCTGAATAGTTCAAACTCGCCCTTGTTGTTGTATCTGCATCTTGTCTTTGTACCAAATGTGCAAATGGGACTTAGTTTTTTTTTAAAGAAAATACAACTTTGTAGCTTTTGCAAATATTCTGTGCTTGCAACAAAGCGGGTTAAAGGAGCAACTTGAAAGAATATCAAGGTGTGTCTGTAATTGATTGTATAAAAAAAATATGTTGATATGTGAAAAATATTCCCCCCCCCCATGATAATAGGCTAACTGATAAATAAATAAATATCCTGCTGGGAAGCAATTTCAGCGGGAATGTTCTCCACATGAAAAGCAAGTTTAATTGTCTTTCAGAACTGTAAGTTGTAATAAATTTCTGTTAATGTTTAGGAGCAAATTTGGTTTAATGATCATTGCTATTTTTGGCTGCAGGGTGACATGAAGTTTAAGTGTAAAACAGATTAATGTTTTACACTACGGTGGTTTTCTTGCAGACTCTCCTTGAGTTAACCTTTTCACACCTCAGAAACCATTTAATATAATTTTACTTCTAATAGGCCAGAGGCAAACAGAAGCATATTTGCCACTGCTGAATGAGAATTTCTTTTCAGGTACAAAAATGTTTTATATGTGCCCATAGGCTTCAAAAAACCCCCAACAACCTAGGAGGTGGTCAATGAATTAATAAAGGGATTTTCGGTAGATGTGGAGATATGGAGGGATCTCTTGCTCTGCATACAGACACAGCCATGAACTGGGAGAAGGATCTTTGCCAGCAAGCAAACAAGCTTTGTTGAGTGGAGTCTGAGCCACTTCAAAAGTACAGGAGTTCACAAAGAACAACACTCTTTAAACCTCCCCCAATTAAAATGTTCTGGCAACATCTGGGGAAAGCTGGAATCTCTTATCTAAATGGAACACTGAATCCTTAGGAAATGTATTTTTGCTAAAATTGGGGTGTGGGGAGAAAATGTATACTTGGAACAAGAGTTTTATAACGAACAATAAAGTTTCTCCTGAAAATTGGTACTGTGTTACTTCAAAACCCACTATGAAGTGCCAAGCTGTGCCCCATCCCCTCCAGGCTGTAGGCTGATCTAAAAAGAAGCAGGAACAGAGGAGACTTTCTGCGGTGGAGGTAGGGAACTAACAGAAAGGCTCCCTCACCCACTGCTGATGAATAATGGAGGCTCAGAAAGCAGCTGTAATAGCTCCGCAGAATTAAATGTCATAATATAAATAAAACAAGTAAAAGACGGTTTAGCATATTAAATGCTCGGCTCCTCCAAATAAAGCCCGGTGTGGAAGGCACATGCGCACGCAAAAAGCCGTTCCCCCGATTTCAACTTGCTAATGATCCATGGCATGCTACAATTAAAGCTAAGTGCATTTCCTTTAAATTTGGCAACAACCATGCATTATTATTTCCCCCCAGAAAGGTAGGTTTATCCTAAATAATTCTACGGTTTCAGCCACTGAATTACATGGCGGCTAAAACGCATGCTGTGAAGAGACACGCCAGCTCCCTTCAGGAGTTCAGGGCTTGCCTGGTACAGAGGGATCACAGGGGCGGACTGTAACCTTTGGCCCTCCAGATGTTTTGGCCTACAACTCCCATGATCCCTAGCTAACAGGACCAGTGGTCAGGGATGATGGGAATTGTAGTCCAAAACATCTGGAGGGCCAAGGGTTGGGGATGCCTGCTCTACCCAGTGCATTCACATTCCTCAGCGCACAGGAACATTATAGACACATGAAGGAACGCATGTAGGGCAGGATGATGCCAGATTCCATGCAGCATTTCTAGATACATCCACTGGGTGGGTGAGAACGCTAATGATATCTGAAGGGGGTTAGTACGCCAAGACAGCTGGGAGTCTTAGCAGAGAAAGCGGACTCATCTGCTTTGCATAAAAGAAATGCCCTGTGTAGCAAGAAACACCCCCCCAATCATTCAGTTTGTACAAACTTCACACACACTCACACACTACATACGCTACACTTATGTTATAAATTCACAGAAAATCAACCATACATCGGATTTGCACTGTTCCACTTTTATTTTACTCCATGAAGGAAGGACTACAAAATGGGAAAGGTTTGATACAGGCCAGCCATAATCCCTTGAACATCCCAGCACATCCACAGGAGCCCTGCCCAGTTGCTATGCCAACCCTGATGGTCCTAGACAGAAGACCATCAATGTCACAAAGAACTTGCATATGGGAGTGGATTCAGCACAGACTGGAACAAAGGACAATAATCAGCTCTTCCCTCTGGGGGCAGGAAACTGCAAACTCCCCTCTGTCACCTGGAAAGTACTCATGGGGAGGGGGAAAGGGGGAACCAGCCAGGTGACAGGACACTCAGGTTACCACCACAACTCCTCCCTCAACCCCTCCTTTCTGTGATGTATGCATGATGTTTCTGGGGGTGGTCTTGATCTACAGGATGGGAATTTCAAAAGTCTTTATAAGACCTTGCACACCATTTTTTCTGTGTCCCTCCTCTCTCCTGCAAGTGAGAGGAGCACCCTGTTGCAACAGTTCAATAAAGGCCAAGCCTACAGGCTGCTGTTTTGCTCCAAGTTATCCTGGTTGGCGTCTTTGTTTTTGTCCAAGGGAGCCCTCGGATTTTTCCATTAACACCTGTTTGGGGGCCTCAAATTGCCCTTCAACAGAGGATCACAGAGCGCTTTGCAATGTAAAAAAACACGAAAGTGCATACCATTGTTAGCATCTATTGATACCAGTTAGTATCTGTTGAATTTTCCACAGGTTGGGACTTTCATGGTGGATACTAACGACGGTATTGCACTTTTGTGTTTTTATGTTGTGAAGCGCTCTGTGATCCTCAGTTGAAGGGTAGTTATATAAATTTAATAAATAATAATTCAGTAAACAATATTACAAACCTTATTACGGTCAGACCAGCATGAGATACAAACATGAGATAAAATAAAGCATGTAAGACTTAAAGAAGAGAGGGATAAAAGCAAATAGTTAAAAGTGGTTATAACTCACTGAAACTTAAAGCGGGTAGAGACAAAAGACAAGTGGTTAAAAGGGAGCGACTATAAGGGAGTCGAATTCCCGTGACGGGGTGAGCTCCCATTACTCTGTCCCAGCTCCTGCCAACCTAGCAGTTTGAAAGCACGTCAAAGTGCAAGTAGATAAATAGGTACCACTCCGGCGGGAAGGTAAATGGCGTTTCCGTGCGCTGCTCTGGTTCGCCAGAAGCGGCTTAGTCCTGCTGGCTACATGACCCGGAAGATGTATGCCGGCTCCCTTGGCCAATAAAGCGAGATGAGCGCCGCAACCCCAGAGTCGGCCACGACTGGACCTAATGGTCAGGGGTCCCTTTACCTTTACCTTACAAGGGAGGGAATGTGAAGCAGCACAGGTCTTGCACTGTGGGCCTTCAGTTTAGGCCTGGTTTATGCCCATCGTGGAAGTGCAAAACCTAGCAACTAAGTAAAATGATAATAGAGCTGGGATAGCTCAGTTAGTAGAGCACCTCTTAATCTCAGGGTTGTGGGTTTGAGCCCCACGCTGGGCAAAAGATTCCTGCATTGCAGGGGTTGGACTGGATGACCTTCATGGTCCCTTCCAACTCTACAATTCTGATTCTAATAATGTGCCTCTCACCCACATGGCTCTTCTTTGCTGGGATTGCTCTGCTCTACATTTAAAGTACTTGATACAATAAATTCATGGAAAGCAAATGGGGAATAGCGTATAAACAATGAAAAAGAGGGAGAAATCCACAAGCAGCTAAGCACATAAAATATTCACTTTTAAACAGACAGGGAAATAACCTGAAGGTAGTCAGTAAAAAAACATGCATACAACTCAAGTTATAATAGTCAAATAAAGAGAAGAAAACAGAATGACATAAAGGAGTATAGGGGAAAAATCTTTGAAACCATGTTGTCAAAAAATGTAGCATGCTTCCATAGCTTCTTGTGGAGATAATAAGATTCTTTGTAAAAAGCTGGATCAAGGAAGTTGAGGAAAATAAAGGTAGCTTATCAACAGGAATGAAAAGGAGAACTTTAAAAGAGTGGAGGGAAAATGTCAGAGCAAACGCAAAGAAGAATCTTGTAAATTGTGGCACTTTAAAAACTAACACATTTATTATGGCATAAACTTTTGCAGACTACAGTACGCTTCATCAGCTGCACAAAGTGTTATTATGCTGAGTTGCAGATGTGTGTGTGTATTTTTTTTTTTTTAATAAATATATATAATTCAGCTTCCAGCACTCAGCTCCCTTCTCTTGAGGGTTTTCGAGCAAAGTGCCTGGTTGAAGTTCAAGACAGCTTTCCAGGACAAGCGGCAAAGTGCTTACCCATCTCTATTAAGAATGCATGTGGAATACCACAAATATTGGCACTTTAAAAAGAAACGCTGAAGTCCCACCATTTATACTAGGATGGATATATGGTGGAAAACTCAAATTAAGATGAAGTGAAACAAATTATCAGAAATAAGGCTGGCAGGGAGTTGCAAGAAACACCGTTGCTCAGGGATCTGCCCTGGCTGCTGATTTATTAAAGGGCCAAGTTCTAGTTGTTACTATTAGTATATAAAGCCTGTAGCAACTTGGGACGAGTTGACCTGTGAGATCACGTCAATTGGCAGAGTCAGCCACTACTGTAGGTGTCACACAAAATCACAGAATTGCAGAATCATAGAATCATAGAGTTGGAAGAGACCACAAGGGCCATCGAGTCCAACCCCCTGCCAAGCAGGAAACACCATCAGAGCACTCCTGACATATGGTTGTCAAGCCTCTGCTTAAAGACCTCCAAAGAAGGAGACTCCACCACACTCCTTGGCAGCAAATTCCACTGTCGAACAGCTCTTACTGTCAGGAAGTTCTTCCTCATGTTTAGGTGGAATCTTCTTTCTTGCAGTTTGGATCCATTGCTCCTTGTCCGCTTCTCTGGAGCAGCAGAAAACAACCTTTCTCCCTCCTCTATGTGACATCCTTTTATATATTTGAACATGGCTATCATATCACCCCTTAACCTCCTCTTCTCCAGGCTAAACATGCCCAGCTCCCTTAGCCGTTCCTCATAAGGCATCGTTTCCAGGCCTTTGACCATTTTGGTTGCCCTCCTCTGGACTGGTCACGACTGGTCCTAATGGTCAGGGGTCCCTTTACCTTTTATATTTGCATAGTGTTCTCGAAGCTACCAGCATGAGTTTGACCAAACTGCGAGAGGCAGTGGAAGACGGGAGTGCCTGGCGTGCTCTGGTCCATGGGGTCACAAAGAGTCGGACACGACTAAACGACTAAACAACAACAACAATTTATGGACCTAATAGGTATCTAAAGCCATTTGCGCATGTTGCCCTGCAACCAGTCCATGCAGAATGCAGGCACCCTGTATATAGGAATGAGCAAACCAGTGATATTTTAGGGAGCAGGCTAGCAGGCAGGGCCCATGACTTACATCATAGGAGCCAAAACAACACAAAACACAGTTGCTGTATATAGGTTTTATTTGTTTTTTTATCTTATATTTTGGAAATGTACATCCAGTTTATTTTCCTTCAAATTTTTAGGAGGCCCCCAAGAGAGTGGGGATCTAAGCTAGAGCTTGTTTAGCTTATACTTAAATCCGGCACTGCCTGCAACATTGGCATTATCAGCTCTAAGCAACTGAACTATCCAGGCAGCAACATAATACCCACCCCACGTTTCCAAGAACTTGATCATTTAGTGTAGGAGCACCTACACTTTGGAACTCCCTGCACACTGATATCAAGCAGGAACCTTCTCGGTGGTGGCGCCCGCCCTGTGGAATGCCCTTCCAGCAGATGTCAAGGAACTGAACATAGTGTTTTGTGTTGTGTAGATTCCTATGATGTGAGTAATGGGCCCCGCCTGCTAGCCTGCTCCCTAAAAGATCACTGGTTTGCTCACATCTATATATAGGGTGCCTACATTCTGCATGGACTGGTTGCATAGCAACAAGTGCAAATGGCTTTAGATACCTATGAGGTCCATAAATTGCCATATAGCATATATTCAACACAAAAACCAGCGACAATTTGTTGTTGACAAAGGACAGCTGGACATAGAAAGGGCCCCATTACCTTCAGTAGCTTAGGGCCTCATCAAATCTAAATCTAACTTTTAGAAGACATCTGAAGGCAGCCCTGTTTTGGGAAGTTTTTAATGTTTGATGTTTTATTATGTTTTTAATATTCTGTTGGGAGGCGCACAGAGTGGCTGGGGAAACCCAGCCACGTGGGCGGGGTATAAATAAATTACTACTACTACTACTTGTATTCTTTTCAATGTCTGCTAGAAGCATATTTGCTTAGGCAAACCTGCCCAGATGTTTAGAAAGGTGATGTGGGTTTTAATCTGTTTTCAGTCTATATATTATTATTCATTTTATTAAATGTGTGCATACTGCCCTCCATGCGAAGATCTTGGGGAAGTTCACAGCATTAACTTTTCAAATGTCTTAAAATTATTATTGCTATTTTTTTTCTAAGTGATTTTATTGTTCTGCCTTTTTTTGTAAACGGCTTTGAGGTTATGGTTGTTTTCTTCTTCAATCAAGCAGCGTATAAATTTTGCGAAATAAATATTGGTTTGTTTGTAGTTTGCTCTCATTGGAACTGGTCCAATGGAGGGCTTTGTAGCCTGCGGGTCCACATCTTCTCCCAAGACAAACCCCACCCACTGCACCCATTCCAGCTTTGGAGGGGAACTGGCTGTCCATCTTTCTTTCTTTCTTTCTTTCTTCCTTCCTTCCTTCCTTTCTTTCTTATATTGTTCTTTATTGAGTAAAAAAACTGCAAATCTATACAAACGTTGTATACTATCTCTTAACTGATAACAAACGAAAGATATATAAAATAGAAAAAAATTTACAAGAAAGAAAAAAGAAGAAATAGAAAAGTAACAAAGATAAGAAGCAAATAAATAAAAAAAGAAAAGAGAAAAATTATTTACATAATAAAAGTACTCAGCACAATCCTTCCCATCCTTCTCATTATACTGTTTGATATAAGGTTCTTTTTTTACACAGGTTTACATTGTATATCATTTCTTTCTGCTTTGTGTACATTCCTTTGATCTTTTTCTTTACAAATATCACTCGATTTCTGCTAATATGGAGTTATTTGTACAATAAAGTTTTACATAATTCTTAAATATTATCCATTCTCTAGTTGTTTTTTGTTTCGATATTCCTCTGACTGATCCCGTCAGTTTTGCTAATTGTAGATATTCTAACATGAGTATCTGCCAATCTCTGGGAGTGTTTCATTCTTCCAGTTCTGTGCTATAAGGGTTCTAGCTGCTGTTATACCATAAATAAACAATGATCTGATATCTTTTTTAATTTCTGTGTCCATCTTTCTACAGCATCATACACCCTGGCTCCTTCCCTCTGTGAAGGAAGACCTCTTTCTCCAGCCTCAGAAAGTGGGGAAAGAAATAACCCCTGGAATGCCTTCATGAGGACTACTGGATAGCAGCTGAAAGTATGTAACAATAACACAAATCCTAAGAGGAAAAAAATGGGTGGGACGCGGGTGGCGCTATGGGTTAAACCACAGAGCCTAGGACTTGCCAATCAGAAGGTCGGCGGTTCGAATCCCCACGACAGGGTAAGCTCCCGTTGCTCGGTCCCAGCTCCTGCCAACCTAGCAGTTCGAAAGCACGTCAAAGTGCAATTAGATAAATAGGTACCACTCTGGTGGGGAGGTAAATGGCGTTTCCGTGTGCTGCTCTGGTTCGCCAGAAGCGGCTTAGTCATGCCGGCTACATGACCCGGAAGCTGTACGCCGGCTTCCTCAGCCAATAAAGCAAGATGAGTGCCGCAACCCCAGAGTTAGTCACGACTGGACCTAATGGTCTGGGGCCCCTTTATCCTTACCTTTAAGAAAAATTATTCTTGGTATTTCCTGTTGCGAAAAGTGTTCCTACCCCTTGAAGGGACTCCTATTACTATGCCGGTGTAGTTCTTCAAGAATAGTGTAAGAAGCATCATAAAATGTCTAGAGGGGTGAAAGGCAAATATTAATTAACTTTTTTTTCCTTTAGTGCTTTCTTGGAGGAATTAATTGGTAGGGCAATCAGGACAGACGTGCTTTTAAACCAAAAGCTTTTTGGGTCACTGCAGTACCTTTTTCACAGCAAGTTCATTCGTGCCTCGGAAGTCGGATGCCTTGTGAGATGAACGTTTTGGTTCCTGAAAGCCGCAAACCCGGTAGTGAGCGTTCCGGTTTGCGAACGTTCTTTGGAACCCGAATGTCCATCGCAGTTTATGATTGACTGCAGGAGTTTCCCGCAGCCAATCGGAAGTCACGTCTTGGTTCCCGAAGGTTTTGGAAATTGAACAGACTTCCGGAACGGATTCCGTTTGACTTCCAAGGTACAACTGTACGTCCTGTGGAAGGGTTAACTTCCTCACCATGCCACTCCTGACCCACACTTTAGGGGGCACACTGCACTTTGTTTTATTTGCTTTATTTTCAGGAGGACTGGGAAGAGATTTCTCATGTCAGGCTACAATCCGTTTCCACGAC